GTGGTCCTACTTGTCCTCATCACTGTGGCACGGTGTTGGTTAGTATGATAATGATATAATGTTCATTAAAGCCCTTTTTGAAGTGAACCTAAGGGGTTTTTCTAGCTTTTGATACAAGGGTTGCATAACAGCTGAAAAGCTCGGAATATTCTTCTGTGGTAAAAAACATGAGGATAAACTTCTGGAAGAAATTATAGGTAGACAACTACAGAGGAGAGCAGTGTAATAACAAGGATGTATCACTAACTCTCTGATAAACTTGGCGAAAATGACCACAGATTATTAAGAGAGATTGCAAGGACTGTGAGGGCAGAAAACACAATATTGAGAAACCACAATTATCCATCTGTAGGTTGTGTAAATGATACACAGGGGCACGAAGCCTCTTGGAAAGATTAATCTGAGAACTCAAAAAAGGAAAACAACCCTTATTAGTCTGAAACGGTGCATCAGGCCCACATCAATAAGTAATTGCACAAGAACCACATTATCTCACTGCCTGTAATGTGACCGTAATCAAACCTCCTGCTAGGAACAAAAACGCTGTAAAAAATCTACTGCATAAAAGTTTACTACCAAAAAGGAAGAAACTCTTAAGGGAAATTGAAAGGTAAAGCCAGAAGGGTAAAATGCTAGCAGACAAGTGTGGAAGGTGCTGAAAGACTCAATGTTGAATGCTTAGTGCAGGTGTATGGCACCTATAAAAAGGCTGCTGTTCAACAGATTCCTATGTAATTTATAATTACAAACAGAATGAATAGGCTACGGATAAAGTTTGCTGGTGACATAGAGTTGTTCAGGATTATGGGCTGCAAAGAGTTGCAAAAAAAGTCTCATGTGAAACTAATGACTGGGTGCAAAATTGCAGAGAAGTACTTGTGGATAAATGCTACGTAATGTGCATAGAAAAAAAAAATCTAAGTGTACAGGTACAGTGGTACCCTCTATTCTTGTTCAGGAAAGAGATAATGAAGTCATTGTCAGACTCATTTTCCTTGCCCTGGAAAATATTAGCCCAGTGTTCAAACCTGGTCAAAAAAGTATTTTAATATTAAAACCAAAAATGAAAATCTAGAAGAATGGTAGAAGATAAAACCTGGTGTCCATATCTTGAATACTACATGAAATCCAGGTTTTCTGCATATCTGGAAGGATATAGATGAACTGGTAAAGGTCCTTATAATGATCAAAGGTACAAACTGTTTATGTATGAGGACAGATTAATGTGCTAGGGCTCTTCATCTAAGAAAAAAGAGTATCATCATAAAAATATCATAAAAGAAGTGTATATATCATACTGCTCCTGAGGGAGAGGGCTATAGCAGCCTGGAACCAACAAATATTAAATTAGTGGATAGGGAGTAAATTTCTGTGGTTTCTTACAAGAGAAGCACAGGAAAGGATTTAAAACAGAAGAAGCCATTTTTCAAAAAAAATTGCAGATACCTTTGACAGGTGAATTTGTGTAATCAAAAGTACAAGCGAGTGCAAGAAAGCATCCATGGAGGATAGGTCCATCACTGGCTATTAGACACAAGCTCCAGCCTGTGGCTGAGGAAGCTCTTAGGCTGCTGACAGCAGGAGGTGAGGGGAGAGAGCATCACTATTCTTCCCTTCTTTCTTTCCCAAACATCTGGTGCTGACTGCTGCCACAGCCCCGTGCTGGAGGGATGTTTACTCTGACCCAGGATGAATTTCCTTTGCCCTGATATTGTTTTCATCACCTGCAAGCTTCTGTATTTATTGTAATTTAGGACAAAACTAATTTTCATTTGAAGTACCAGTCATTATGACAAATGCACTTTCAAGCATCTGAACCCTTGTTTTATAGTGTTTAGATAGTGGGAAATCACCTTAAAATATGTTGAACAGCTGGTGAAAGATTGTTCTAGGGGTGTAGCACTGAAAGACTCTCGGGCAACCTTATTGTGGTCTTCCAGTGCTTAAAGGGGGCTTGTAAGAAAGATGGAGCGAGATTTTTTACCAGTGCCTGTAGGGACATGTCAGGGGCAACAGTTTTAAACTGAAAGAAGGTGAATTTATATTAGATATTAAGAAGAAATTTTTTTATGATGATGGTGGTGAGACACTGGAACAGGTTGCCCAGAGAAATTATGGATGCCCCATAATTAGAAGTGTTCAAGATCGGGTTGGATGGGGCTTTGACAACCCAGTCTAGTGGAAAATGTCCCTGCCCATGTGTGCTGGCTTCAGCTGCGGTAGAGTTTTCTTCATAGTAGCTAGTATGGGGCTGCATTTTGGATTTGTACTGAAAACAATGTTGATAACACAGGGATGTCTTCATTATTGCTGAGCAGTGTTTACAAAGAGTCAAGGCCTTTTCTGCCTCTCACACCACCCCACCAGCACATAGGCTGGGGGTGCACAAGAAGTTGGGAGGGGACACAGCTGGGACAGCTGACCCCAACCCATATGAGGTAATGCTCAGCATATAAAGCTGGGGGAAGAAGAAGGAAGGGGGGAACCCCAAGTAATCGTTATGCATGATGGAGCCCTGCTTCCCTGGAGATGGCTGAACACCTGCCCGCTGATGGGAAGTGGTGCATGAATTCCTTGTTTTGCTCTGCTTGTGTGCGTCTTTTTCTCAACCCACGAGTTTTCTCACTTTTACTCTTCTGATTCTCTCCCCCGTCCCACTGTGGGGGAGTGAGGGAGCAGCTGTGTAGGCCTTAGTTGCCAGCTGGGCTTAAACCATGACACCATGGCAGGGAGGTTGGACTAGATGATCTTTGAAGGTCCCTTCCAACCCAAACCATCCTATGATTCTGTGGAATATCACTCCCGGTGCCATCTACTGATGAGTATGAAAGGAGTTGCAGGAGAAGCACATATGAGCCATTTCCACCAGCAGGGAGGGAAGCAGGCTCATGTCGCTGCTGGGCTGCAGTCAGGCCCTCAGTGAGTGTTTCTGCCTCACTGCCAGCTAATGTGAGCCGTTCCGTCTCTGGAATGGCACCTTAACTGCACAGTACAGATCGTTCAGTTTAAACACGGGTTCAACAGACAAGGATTTTAATGTAAAGGAAAAGAAATTATTTTTTATAAGCTGTCTGCTTCAGATAAATGCGGCTGCATAGTGATCTTGGAGCCTGACATATTTGGCTTTGATTAAAAATAATCACGTGCAATAATTTGCATGATAATCTGTGATTTCAGGATAGTGTGATGTTGCCCCATGCAGGTGCTCTGTTTCCTTGAGTTATGCATTTTTAAATGGAATACATCACCCACAGCTTTTAAAATTATCTGACAAATTTATCTTGACAACAGTAAAGTTTTGCTCAGTGTGAGATTTTATTAATATGCTGTAATATCTTAAATGATACTTGATGCCTTTTTAATTAAAAAGGCCATAATGTTTCAATGTCAACATCTCAACCAGACCCGGAAGACCTGGGCTTTTGGGATTGATTTCTGTTCATCTCAAGCAAGTGAAACCTACAGGCAGAGCAGCTGAATAACTGGATTTTAAAAGACCCTATTTCTTCAAAGCTTGCCTTTTGATCCTCACATTGCCACCGAGGCTCTGAATGCATCATTCATTGCAGGGAGAGTGTTTTCCTACCTCAGCTGGATTGCATGGTGTTATTCTATTAATTGTAAAGTGTCTCTTTTTCTGAGGCAAAATGGTGAATTTCTGAGGTGAATGGCTGCCCTGACAGACACAGAGAGGCCACAGATGCAGAGCTTCTGTGAGCATTTTTTATACTTACGTTTCTAGAAAGAGTCAAAAGCTTGCATCTTCTTTTTTCCTTGAAAGATCTGTTATTTTTCTGTGGAAACTGAACACCTCAACAGCTTAACCAAAAACTGGTTTATCATTGTAACCTGAAGTGGATATGTGTAGAAATATCTGCCCGAACTGGCACAGGCTTTTTCACTGAGGAAAATATAAGGTTGGATAAATATCACTAATTCTATTGCTTTCGTTTTCAGCACCTTTAATATGTGCCCTTTCCTTTCCAGCACTATTAGAGGATTTTTTCCTATTCTTATTTCTAATATAGCATTCATATGATGTAGCCAAAACTTTGCTGAAGTCCCAGCTGTGCACCAAGACATGATCAACCTCAACATCTGTTGTGAATTGCTCTAGAGCTGCACAGTCTGAGAACAGGAGCCAACCTGCAGAGCTGCTATTCAGCAAATTCCTGCCAAATCCAGAGACCAATGGCACTTTTTGGGGCAAAAAGTTTTATTGAAATGAGAGTCAAATTTAAACTCAGTGCTGACTCAAGCAAAGCTGTGCTGCTTGAGTTTCACTGTTATAACAATGAAACGTTCGCCACGTCATGCACGTGTGTGTGGTGGTGGGTGTTATCAAGCAAGAGTGGGATTATCCAAGTATTTGTTTTTATGATATATGCCCGTTAATGGCAGAAGTAGACAAAAGCTAATTGACTAAGTGTCTTTCACTCGTATGTTGATGATTTAAATGCATCCCAGGCTGACGGTGAATGTTGATTTTTCCTGCTTTGTTACTGACATCTGTCAATAAAGCAGGAGAAATGGGCAGGCAGTTTTAACATAGTCCATTTTTAACGGGTATCATCAGCAGCATCACTAGCGTGGCTGTTGCAAGGACCATGTATGGCCTCTGTCTTTCAGAAGTGCTTCTTTCAGGCTGCAGATGAACATTAGGTGATGGTAAAAAAGGGCCATGTTGCTTTGCCACTGACCAAGTGGTAGTCTTTCATTGAGAAAACAAGACTATTGCATTGCTTATTGCCAATCTGAAAAATGTCACTTGTTTCAACGTTTCTAAATTCTGCTGTGTTTTTAAAATAAGTCAGTGTGTTATGAACTCTTTTCACATGTTGGAGATAGTACAATAATGTGTAGCGCAATGGAAGAGAAATGATGTATTCCTGTGGTGCAAACCACTGGCTGCCAGTGTGTCAGAGCCAGTTCTTGTCCTTATACTCCATATTCATTAGTGCCTCGAGGGATACTTATTCACCTTATCTGTTCTGTTCTAGTGATTCACCATTTTTCAACGGAAGAGAGGTGCATGCGAGCAATAAAAGAGATGGCTCACATCTTGAGAGTAGGAGGCCAGATAATGATATATGTGTGGGCAATGGAGCAAAAATGAAGATTTTAAAAGCAAGACATTTTTGTGCCTTGGAATCCTTCACCTCCTTCCTGCTCCTCGGGTGAGCTTTGCTCACGTGGAGTACAAAAATCAATTCTTCACAAGGACAAAGAGCTGGCTTTGAACCATCCGTGTTATAAGTTGGATGAGACTTCAGAGGTACACAGGACAGCAAAGAGCTCATCCTGTGGAGGGGAGAAAAAAACACTGTGCATGATGTTAGAGAAATCTCCGAGATGGTCTCTATTCTCAAGATCACTTGACTTGGTATTAGATGTGGGTGATCAGTGGCACCAAAAAGAGCTCATTAGATACTGCAATTACAGTGTTCAGCTGAATGAATTAAACAGAGGAAAAAAAAAGTTAAAAAAACATAGAGTTTGGCTTTCTGAAACACACTTCCAACCTTTTTCTATGTGGTGAACAGAGTTTTGAAAATACAGGAGCTTTTGAAGTGGCTGTTAAACCTGTGCTGCCCATGTCATGCTGCTCAAAGGCTTTCAGAAGTTGCTATTCAGAATTAGGGCAAGCAACTGTACAGCACCCTATGGCTGCAGATACTATTCATGGTTGCAGCGGAGTCTGTTTACCTGACCTGATTTCACGTCAGAAAGAATTAGCTGTTAGACAGCAACTTAAAATAGACCATCACCCAAAACAAGGAGCTTTCTGCCAACCTCAGAACAAAAGGGGAACAGGCTCTCCTCTGCAGAAAGCGGTCAATGAGTGTGCCCTGACCACACAGAGAAGACAGCAGACAGGTCGTGGTGGGGCATGGTTGAGGTACTACCACGTTTTTAAAAAAGGGGAGTTGGCTGAGCTGATAGAGCGTCACATTCCTGAGCTATATATTATTCACTCATACTTTGACCATGCCAATTGGTTCGTGATCATGGAGAAGGCTGAAGTGTGGAAGATATAGGGGGAATTTCCTTATTAAAATGCATAGACAATACTTTGGAGCTTTCTTCCTTTTCAAAGCTCAAAACCTTTGAAAACCTTTCCTGAAGTTTTTTTATAGCCTTGCGTTTGTTTTAGGGAAGCAGGGATGTATGAGGAGGAGAGTGCTTTGAAACTGTCAGGTTCTGTGACTCTGTTTTCTTTGATTTTGTTCTTAAAATACATCTCTATTGAAATTTTTTTTCTAGAGTTATTATTTCAAACTGAGCACATTTATAGAACACAGATCCCCTTTAAAAAACAGCTTCCAGCTGTGTTTTATTGCTTGAAAATAGGTAAAATACAGTTGGAAGGTGATTGCTGGATTATTTTTTACATGTGCATTAAAAATCTTTGTGAATAACATTTATTATTCACTTATTACTATATAATCATTCATGGCAACTTTCTGTTTTAAAATTATTGTACTCTGCCACTTGACGTAACATAACATGGGAAGTCATTGAAAGATGCACTATTTTACTACAGTTCACTTTGTCAGCCTATATGATACTTCTAGTCCTATGAGACAGACAGTCTTTTAGGAGAATTACTAGGTGTATAGAGCCCTCATGGCAGAGGCAGTAATTCATGACATTGTCATAGTCTAGAGATCTTTTTCATTGCCTTTTAGCAATCTCAGCCAAGAAAGCCAAGAGATATTTGCCTCTGTATATGCCGCTACATGACTCCCCCAAAAACTAGTTTTAAAAGTGAGCTTGACATGTATGCTTAAGCCTGGATTGCTCTTTCTCCCTCTCAGCAAAACTAGGAGGAGTCAGAAGGATTTAATATCTCATTGAAACCTGTACAGTGAATGAGCATAGCACAGAAAAGTGTTCCAGTGACAGCTACTCAACTGAGAAAATATTCATTAATATCAGCATGCAGTACTAATGCTTTTATCTACAGATTTGCCTTTTGCAAAGAAGATAAGTTTCATTATCCAATTTTTATAGATAAAGAAACTGAGGTAATTAAGTTTGCTTCAGGTTGCAATGTAGAGTAAATATTTGGAAGAAAACCAAACAAAAATCCCAAGCAACACAGTGCTTTGCTGATGACTATTTATGTGCTGGGGAGGTCTATCTGCAATTTTACTTTCTGCCTTTGTTTCTGTGGATTTGTGAATCAGCAAGTCAGAGATCAAACTAGTTTTCTGAGAAATAAGACCCTGCATGTTCTTTACGTGTCTGTCAGTAGCAGATGCATATGATGTTTTCAAACGTAGCATGGAACCGTGAAGTAATCTGAGTTTTTTAATGCAGCTTTAATTCAATTTGAATATAATATCTGTAATCACATTTCCTTTACTTCCTCCCATGGAGTTCACATCAGTGGTATCATAGTACATCTTGTATTTTCAGGTGGAAAAGCTAGAGGGGCTAATCAGTCTCCTCCACCTGTAATGACTGCCTCTGCAGTGCTCCTTTTTAACTAACATTTAAATGTTAGTATCGTTGTGCAAGTGAAGCAAATAATTTTCAGTCACAAAATGTTGCTGCTGGCTGGCTCTGATGACACTGTTCCCCTTTTTTGTACACTTTTTTCCATTGCCAGAAGGACTTGACAGCATCTCCCTGTTTTTCAGTGCAGCTTCAGGTTGCACTAAGCAGCAGCAGCACATTGCAGTTCTGAGCCTGCTGCATGCCTGTTTCCACAGTTCAATAGGCTGTTAGCCCACACAAGACACCAGAAAAATGCCTTTGATCATAGCTGCCAGTCCTTGCCCTCAAGTACACCTGATGTTTAGTTTTTCTGGAAATGAACACAGGTATTTTAACTGAACCTGACTGGTCCTCTTGGACCTCTAGTTCTTCCCTAGAGTGCAATGAGTCACCACTAGATTTCTCCTCATGATGACACCCCTGGTCTGCCAGCTCCAGGTCAGGCGTTCCTAAGCAAGATCCATGTCACAGGGACAGTACTAGCCTAACTGGAAGGAATTTTAATCTCTGGGTAACTGTCAGAAGCTCTAAAAGCAACTCTTCCCTTCAACAGGGAGTCAGTCTCCTTGTTTGGAATGAAACAAACTGCAAAGGCCCACTTCTTGCATAGCAAAGTGCTGCCTAAGGATGGGTTAGACCTGCTTCCAGGTGCGATGGCTCCCATTCATAATGGTTGCGCCTGGAGGGCCCTGAGTGCTTCCTGGGACCAGAGCAAATTCAGCCTCTTGCAAACAAAGCCACCACAGGACGAGGCCCTGACTATGCAGGGAAAGAAAGTAAAAATATGCATTTGGTTGGAAGAATCATGTATTACTACTTCCTCACATTTATGCATGTCACAAATGTTCTAAAGCCATAAGCTCTATTTGAAATTCCTGTTTTGATCTGGATGCCAGTAGCAAAAGCAGGACTGAATTCAGGACTCAATTCTTTCCTTCATTTCTACACCACAGTCTGCATTTGTAGTCGTCAGGGTAGGCGTTGCCTTGCACCAAGGGATATAGCAGGGAAATGCTCTGCACTCATGAGTCATGCTTGGTCCTAATTTGTTTTCCTCTTGTGCTCTCTGCTTTTCTGAGCTGTATTTTCAAATACGAGGATAAATTTTTTCTGGCCTCCTTTAGGCATCTAGAATGCAGATCTGTAAGTCTAGCTTTGTGCTCCATATTGTCTGTGGAGTTAATGGAAAGAAATAGCCATTATGGGAGACAGCTCTTCACATTCTATCAATTTCTTGTCGTAGAGGGCAACCCCTCCACCCCTCCTTCCTTGCCTGTCCCTTCTGAACAGCCTGTAGCCATCGATAGCTGCACTCCAATCATGGGATTCATCCCACCAAGTTTCAGTAATGGCAACTAAGTCATAGCTTTCTAGCAGCACGGTGGCTTCCAGCTCCTCCTGTTTGTTGCCCATGCATGCATTACAGAAGAGGCACTTCAGCTGGGCTGTAGGCCATGTTATCTTCTTAAAGGAGCACTCTAAGAAGAGTTCTTTGAGGTCTTTCGCTAGTGCAACAGGCTGAGGGGCCCCACTAGCACCCCGTCCCTCTAACCTTGGTGTGTCATCCCACAGCTTGTCGTGGGTAAGCCTGATATTATCCCCCCCTCCCTTCAAGTCTAGTTTAAAGCCCTGTCAATAAACCCCACTAGCTTGTGAGCAAAGACCCTCTTCCCCCTTTGAGAAAGGTTAATCCCATCTGATGCCAGCAAGCCAGGTGCCTTGTAGGCCATTCTATTATCAAAAAAAAACAGAACTGTGGCAGTGACACCGGTCACAGAGCCATGCATTAATAGACTGGAAGGAGCAAGGAAAAAACAACCTGTGCACCAGATTCCCTCACCAACTGTCCCAAGGCCCTGAAGTCTCTTTTGATCACACTTGGACTATGTGTTGCAGCCTCATCGCCACCCACATGGAAGAGCAGTAGTGGGTAACAGTCCAGGGGTCACAGCAGGCTAGGAAGTTTCCTAGTGATGCTGCTCCAGGGAGGCAGCAGACTTCCCTCAGAGGGAAGAGCAGTCTAGCATACTGGACCCTCCATTCCCCTCAGAAGGGAGTTGCCTACAACTATAACCCATCTTTTCTTCCTCATGTGTGTGGTCGTGATGCAGGGGGTAGGTTTTTCTGACCTTGGCAATACCTCCGGTGCAGCTGGACTGTCATCCACATCATCCATTGACTTGCCTTCCACATCCAGAGCCTCATACCTGTTGTACCGAGGCACCTGGGGAGGTGAGGTGGGCAAGGAGGGGGTTCACCTGCTGCTCTGAGCATGGACTTGCCTCCATTCGCTCCTTTCCTTTAAACTACTGCCTTCAGCTTGGTGCAGGGAGATACAGGACAGGATACAGGACACCCTTGGTCTTTTTTTTTTTCTGGTGGCTGTTCCTGTTTCTGTCTCAGGGAGGACAGAGCATGGTTCCACGAGACCATCTCTTTCTCAGACTCCCTGATGCTCCTTAACCTTTCTACTTCCTCTTGTAGCTCTGTGTCCCGGTTTCAGCCAGGGTAGAGTTAATTTTCTTCATAGAAGCTAGTATGAGGCTGTGTTTTGTATTTGGGATGAAAATAATGTTGATAACGTGCTGATGTTTTGGGTTGTTGCTGGGCAGTCAGGGACTGTCCAGCTTCCCATGCTGGCCTGACAGCGAGTGGGCTGGGGGTGCACAGGGAGCTGGGAGGGGGCACAGCTGGGACAGTTCCACACCATTCGGTGTCATCCTCAGCACATGCAGCTGGGGGACGAAGAAGGAAGGGGGGACATTTGGAGTTAC